AGGTTTCAATGTCTCAATTTGCTCTGGTAACAAAGTTTCCATTTTAAGCTCTTAATTGCACATCCATAGCTAGGGGAATAAGAAAGCCAAAGCTCCTGGCCGATTGGCCAGAGTGGCAACAGGGAACAGGGGGGTCAGCGTTTGGAGGGGGTCTGGGATCTTTGGCCTTTGGTACAAGTCAGCTGCAGGCGGGTGCGGGGAAAGCCCCTCCTGAGGCGCTGTGGGTCCCGTGCAGGGCGGTCCGGCTGCTGCATGTCTGACTCGCCTGCAGCTTAGCATCAGTGCACCTGGCCAGGGTGGTTCAGCTCCTGAGGGGTGGCGGGCCAGGAGCTCAGGCCTCGCTTGCGGGGCCAGTCCTGAGCCCCACTGGTGTGGTGGGCTGTGGGTTCTCACTCCAAGCCTGAGAAGCTTCTGCTTCTCATGAGGCGGCCCTGGGAAGCAGCTGGTCCATCAGATACCAACCCCTCTGAAAGAGGCGGCACTTGACCCGCCTTTGGTTTTTTTTTTCAGTTTGTCCGCTGACAGTGCTGTGGCTTCCTTGGCCCTGGAAATCCTCCAAGCTGCCGGACAGTAGGCGAGAAGGCACTGCCAACACCCACCCTGCAGCTCCAACCCTCGGCGACACAGGCAAGGTCAGCTCCCGCACACACTCGCCGCCCGTGGCTGCGTTCAGACCTAATAAAGCCAGCTGAGGCCAGGATCTTCCGGCCAAGGTGCTGTCACTAACTCTGGGCCCTAGAAACCCGACTCAGAATAGGGCTCCTCAGTTCTGTGGGATGCACTGGGAACCCCGGTGTGCGAGCTGTTCTCAGGAGGTCCTTTCCCTCCATGTGGGCCCTGGGCCCGCCTCCAGCCTGTGCGGCCTGCCCCAGAGAGGGGGAAGCCGCAGTCCCCAGCCTGCCCAACCTGCTCTCCGCGTCTCCTGCGGAGACCAGAGGCAGGACTCAGCCTGCTCTCTCGGAACAGCTCCAGAACCGGCCTTTGTGAGGCTCAGCCTCTCGTCTTGCCTCGCTTTTGCCTGCCTGGCTTTTCCAAGAACCCACTAACAGGCCCAGGTAGTTAAGTCTGCCTGAATACGAATGCTCCAGGAATGCTGGCTTCCCTGAAGGCTTGCCCATCTCGGTGGGTTGATGGCGTCAGGGTCGAACCATCCCCAACGTCTCCCCACCTGCCCTGTATCCCTGAAACCTGTTGAGCCTCCTCCTGTGTCCCCTCACACGTGTGCCCTGAGAGCCTCCTCTGTGAGTGGAACCCTCGAGAATATTTGGAGGACAGCGCAGAGACGCTGAACTGTTGCACTGGTGCCTCTGGACTGGGCGGCAGCTTGGGTCCTGGACGGCTTGAACCAGGCGAGCAAGGTGGGGCCATCCTTGGTGTACGGGGCCTCCGTGTCCCCGTCTGCTGAAGGAAAGGCCCAGGCAGGTCAGTAGCTGCTGGCCCTCTCCCCTCCACGGGCCCTGTGCTTCTCAGGGGATTTGCCCCTCATAAGCACTGTCCCAAGCCTAGATCGGATTGTCCCATGCAGAACAGGTGGGACCGGCAGGAGTGGCAGCTGCGTGGGCACGCAGGTGGCCCCATTTATTGCATCACGGGAAGCTGTCTTCCTGTCACCAAGAACCCCACTTTGGCCAGTGAGCTGGGTAGTTTGCCAAGTTCCATTTGACTTTATAACAAAAACAGCTTTGCACCCAACTCTATCAAAGGCATGTATGTCAGTTACCTTATTTAATCCCGCTCCCCACGCCCCACCCCCCCAACCCCGCAGCCTGCAGAGCAGGCCGTCTGGGCTTCCTTTCAGAGATGAGAAAGCTGAGGCTTGGCCAGTCCACTTGCTTGGCTGACCTCAGGACCCTGACTCCACAGCCCCGTGGGCCCCCCAGTGGGGTATCCAGGGCTTGAGCTGTAAATAGCTGGGGGTATGAGAGCTTCATTTGATCTTGCGCAGCCTACTTACTGCCCAGTGAGCAGGCCGCACAGTCGGCCCTGCCGTGTTGGGCACCACATGCCTGTGCTCCTGGGGTGGGTGGGGAGTGAGCCCACGGAGGAGCCAGAGGCCTGGCCTTTCGCTCCAGCCGCTCTGCCTCCTGCGTCCAGGGAACAGGCTCAGGCCTCCTGTTTTCCCAGAAAAGCTGTTCCCTCCCTTGAGTCAGTTCCTGGAGTCCTCAGCAAAGGTATTTCAGAGCATTGGAACATTTTTTATTTTCCCTTGATCACTGAGAAGGGAATGTCTTTGCTGTTTAAACGGGTCAGCTTGAACACCCCCAAACTTTTCTGCTGAGCTGACCGCTCCTGGCCCTGAGCCCCACGACACTGCCCGTCTGAGGAAAGGCGTGTCTGAGTGGGCAAGGGGCGAAGAAACGACGGCACCACACAGGGCCACTGTGCCAACAGCGCCAGGGCGCTAAAGCCCTTGCCAAGCCCTGCACCCTGGGGTGAGGCCCTGTCCTCCTGGAGTTAGGGGCCCCTTCTGCCCTCCTCAGGAAGGCGCTGCCCACAGCGCCGCAGGGCTGGTACACTGAGCTCAGGGGTAGGGGCGGGAGCAGAGGGAGGCCGAGCGCCGCACCCCTTCCCTGCCTCCCCCGCCTCCCCTGCGGCAGAGGCCCACACTCTCCCCTTCGGCTTCCCAGGCGGCTCCAGTTCCGAGGAAAGAGCGCGCTGGCCCCTAGTGCCCCTCAAGCTCTCAGGCTTCTGACAGCGGTAAGGGGCCAGACCCAGGCACCTACTGCCCCCCACCCACGGCCCCCCCAGCTTCAGCTGTTCGCTCTCCGGTTGCCCGTGCCTCCCAGGGACGCGCGACGTCACTGAGGCCGGCAGAAGCAGGAGGCAGAGGAGACAGCCAAGAGCACTGGAGCAGGGGAACAGCCACAGAGCGCCCCCTTTCCCTCCACTACCACAGGCCTAAACCCTCAGGGCCTTGCCTTCAGCCCCAGCCCGAGGGGAGGTGCCCCGTGAACTGTCCCTGTGAAGGAGAATGTGATGACGACCACAGGCGGTCTGAGAGAGACGGGCTGATCGGGGGCAGGAAGGAGGCAGGTCTGCTGGATGCGGCCACAGGCTGCACTGTTGAGCGGTTCTTCGTCCTTGTCCAGCCCCCAGTACTGTCACGGCAAGGCCCCAGGTCCATTCTGGGGCGCAGAGGTGGCTCAGGCAGTGTCCAGAGGGATGGGAGAACTGGGTCTCTTCTGCCTCCACCTGAGGCAGGAAGCCCCACTTTATCCCTCCCCTAGCAACAGAAAAAATGGGGCGAAGACGTGAACCTCTGCTACGCGGGTGGGTGTATGTGGGGATCCAGGCAGGAGACCCAGTGAGTGGCCTCAAGCCTCAGTGGGGCCGAGAGGATGGAGTGTGGGGAAGAAAAGCAGGAAGCCAGGGCCTAGAACAAGGACGGGGCCGGGGGGGGGGGGGCGTGCGACCTGGAGGCAGACTGGAGGGTGCCTTGGGGGTGGTCAGGGAGAGGGGTGGCCAGGGAGGCCTATCGCTGCTGGCTTCCTGCAGGCTGAGGGGTGGGGCGAGGGCGCAGGCTCCGCAGAGGAGTGTTGAGGAAGGAAGGAGGCGCCTCTTTTCCAGCCCCACCCCCATCAATCCTTAACTGCCTTTGGGGGTCATTTACTCAAGGCAGGAAAGGCAGTTAGATTTTCACCTGCGAGAACAAAGTAACTCAGCTCACTTGGCTCTTTGCCTACTAAACCAAACAGCACAATTCAGATCTTCTGTTTTTATTACATTAATCAAAACAAGAATTAAAAAGCTTACTTATCTCAAGACCTTTCACTGTCAAGGATTCAAATAAGCAGATCAAAGCCTCATGTCTAAAACATCTACTCCAACGTGAAAAAGCTTCCTTCTCCCCTTCGTTGTGGGCACTGCAATGGAATCACAGGCCCTTTGCACCTACGCCCCAGGGGACCGCGATCCTGGTTTCTGTAGTAATCTAGTAACCTCTGGCCTTCCAGTTTTACCATCCAGCCATCCTTTCCTTAAAAGTAATTTGCCCATTTTTGGATCAGTGAAGCCCTACAGTGTGCACCTATGACTTCCTTCTGTGTTGGAGACAGAGCTAAGCTCCTGTGTGTGGCTCCAGTTTCTGACTGCAGGACGGCCACTTGTGTGCGCGTGCGGGGACTACTGACACCTGGGCAAGGCGGGGGGGCAAGGCGGGGGGCTGCCACCCCAGGCCCGGGGGCAAAAGAAAGATCATTAATACTGATGTTTTTATTTAAATCGGTTAGTCTGTTGGTCATGGATTTTTTTCTGCATTAATTTGAATTTTCTCCAAATGGCTACAGAGTAAACCAGAAATAGCACCCCCTTCCCCGCAAGCACCACTCTCTTTAAAGACCAAAACACAAGTCCTGACAGGCCTCCTGACTCTGCCCTGCGGGAGGAAAGCCTGCGAGACCTACCGCCAGGATGACAGGCACCCTGGCGATGGCCTGGAAGGAGGCCCACTCTAGGTCTCCCTGATTACGTTCAGATAAACATCTACAGTTAAACCATCTTAATTATCAGTTCAAAGTGAAGCTGAAGGAATTCCCCTCTCCAAGTGAGTCACACTAATGTGAAGGTGCTTGAGGTCCAAACCCAGGTAGTTACTTCTTCATTATTACCTTAATGTAATAGGTTTGGGGTGGGGGAAGCCTATCTGGCTTTCAGTTTTGCTCTATTTAGCCCGAAGACTTAGACAGATGCCTCTGAACTAAGGCAGTCTCAGGTCACTTGGGTAAGAGGACACACCCCCCCCAGCACAGCAAGAGGCCAGGCTGAAGGAGTCTTGGCCACAGGCTCCACGCCAGAATCCTTCAGGAGGAGATGAAATCTTTCCCTCTTATACAAGCTCAGAATCAATCAGTGTTCAAGGCTGAAACAATTTCTGGTGCTATTTAGTCCAGGGGCAAGTGCTTAAAGGAAAAGCTATCCCTTACAACTTAGATTAGTTCGCTATGTTTGTGAATATACCTTCACAACCCATTTACTAATAAGGAAAATAAGGTGACACAATCGAATGAATTAAAAGTTTAATTCTGAACCATTTTTTATAACTGCATTTTCTCTTGAAGCATTGTATCACAGCAGGTTACAACAACTTTGGGATAAAAGGCAACTGGTAAACTGTCCAAAACAAGGTTCCAAATAACACCTCTTACTGATTTACCCTACCCATACATATCCCAAATAAAGTTTTCGATCAAAAACATGAAATAGATCCACCTGCTTATTTTAAGCATATTAAAAAGGAAACTAATTGGACCATTTCTATTTGTCTATTTTATACAAAAAGGCTACACAATGTTACACTTTATTCAGATTACAATTAGAGTGATTATGAATTAGTGTTCTACACCATTACTCAATTCTTAAAAATTAGAAATTGCTGTAGCAGTATTCACTATAACTTAACACTACAAGACTTAAAAAACTAACAGTTACTGCAAAAAAAAAAAAATTAAAGAGCTACTTCAAAGCAAGCAAAGTCAGTACCATTACAGATATTAAAAAAAAAAAAATTTAACAAGCAAGGCTAGAGTTTGATAAATTCCATCTTGTGATCCATTCTTGTGCATTCTTCACTTCTTGAGTCACTCCCAAAATCCATTTGTATTGTTACTCCTCGACCGAAAAGGACCAGAACAAAAAGTTTACTTCAATTGTTCCCATAGGAAACTCAGCTTGGTTAGTGTGTCAGGCACTTTCTGAGATACCAGCCCACCCCTCGAGCCCTCTCAGCAACTCTACAGGCCAATCACAATGCAAGTTCAGACAATACAGCTGTATAAAGAGAGAAAGGCTGCTATTAATGTTTAAAACAGCAAATGTTATTCATTTGAGTATTAAGTTGCAAAAGCTGTGGCAAAAAACATTAAAGTTAATAACTTCCACACATGACAAAGTAACAACCAGAAATCTGAGAACATTCAAATGTTCTAAGACATCTCCTTTCAAAGTATGTATCTGTTTTCGTGGCAGATTTACAAACAGGCCTAAACCACTCCCACCCTACCAACCAAGTCTTTCTGAAGTTCTGTAGGCAGAGTAAAAGTATTTTACCCAAACTGGCTTTTTAAACTTCTTACCTAAAGGATGATTTACAGGTCAGTATCAAACCAGGCCAGCTGATTGCTGTCCCCTGGAGGCAGCCCGTCCATGAGGTCCTGGGCGTGCCCCAGGTCCGGCAGCCCGTCCACTGGGTAGTCAGCGCCGGGGTGGTGGCCGCCCATCTCGTGCTCCATCATGGGGTCCATACCCAAGGCATCCTGGCCGTAGCCAGCGGAGTGAAAAGAACGATAGCTGGGATCTGGAAGGGTCAGGGTGGAAATAGAATGGGCAAGCGGGTGAGAAGAGAAACACAAAAGCTGGCGCTGAGGCTGGGGGCACTGAATGACTGCGTACTCGTCCGAAAGCACTGCTCTCCAGCCTCTTCAACTTCCGGCGTTCTCCAGCCAAGTAATTAATTACCCAATGCCAGGCCACCCACGCGGCTACAGAATCTGTTTCCACAGAACACAGACATGCAGGTTCTAGTCATGCCATCAGTTTACCCTGAACATTCTGCATCTACCCAGGCAGAGACAAAGTTCCCCAGGAGGAACAGCAGAAATCTACTGTGTATAACCACCTAGGCATCAAGGAGGCAGGGGCAAGCCCCGGCTGCTGTGGCTCAGTTGGTGGGGCATTCTCCTGCAAATCAAAAAGTCGCCAGTTCGATTCCTGGTCAGGGCATGTGCCTGGGTTGTACATTTGGTCCCTAGTTGGGGCACATACACAAGGCAACCAACTGATGTTTCTCCCTCACATTGATGTTTCTCTCCCTCTCTTCCCCTCCTTCTAAAAATTAAAAAAAATTTTTTTTTTAAATGGCATGGGCAGGAGAAAGTGGAAACAGGAAGTTTGGCAGATGTAATCTAACTGTTGAAAAGTCCAGGCGATAGCCACGGAAGTACTGAGGAAACACTCTTTTACCGAGACATTTACATGTTGTATCTTAAGGACTGACACCCGCATGTCAAGGGCAAGCAGCGCGGGCTCCAGGTGCCCCGCGGCCCGCCCTCAGCACACCGCCAGGGCCTCAGCCAGCTTCTCAGAGAGCCTCGCTAAGGCAACTCTGTAAGCCGCCCACCCCAGATCTGAGCTTGGCGATACGGGCTTCCCATACTCTCCTTTGCTGGGTGGGTTGTAGACCCAGGTATTATGGCTTCTCTGGCAAAAAAATTAAAAATATATAAAGTTAAAAAAAAAAAAAGAATAAAAAGCCAGGCGACTTGTAACACCCGATGATGCAGGGGCCCAGCAGCAGTGACATGCATTTGCTGCAGGGTCCTGTTTGCTCCGTGTGGGGCTCCGAACTCCCGGTGCTCCATTAAAGGCGCTGTAGCTGACTCTGGCACTTGGGAACTAACTAACTGCTGGCGCTACTTTCCTGCCAGCACTGGCTTCCCAGATAAGCGAACTAGCTCTTTTGATAAAGCTTTGGAACTGTAGCTTGAGCCAGAGTTAATCGGGACATATGAGACACCTACCATCCTGGCGGTATCCAAGGGGCTCTCCCTGGGCTCCAATATCAAGTCCAAGATCAGCAGTCTAGATAAACAGGTACAAGGCAAGGAAGCAAAATGAAAAGTCAACTTCAAGTACACTCTTCTCAAATATTACTGAAACGCTTAATACAGAATTACTCCAAAATACATAAGTATATAGTAAGTACACTTAAAACTCCCCCTCTTATAGATTACCCACTGATACCTAGGAGAAACATGTTTTCCCACTGACATAGTATTTTAAAACTTCAGTATCCTTTTATTGAGTATATATTAAATACTTTGTGCCAGGCACTCTTCTAGGTGCTAGAGATACAACAGTAAACAAAATAGGCAAAGAGCCTCTGCCTCCCCCCCACACTCCGGCAGGAGGACCTTATATGAGAGGATGTTCAGCCTATGCAGAAGTTGTAATAAACTGGGAGGAAATTATGACAGGAACAGTTCTGGGGAAGGAGGCGAGTAGGGAAGGTCAGAGCTCAAGTTGAACATATTAAGACTGCCTGTTCCACATCCAACTAACACAGTACTTACTGTTTGGCAATTTTTTTTCAACTAACAATATACAGGCGCTCTTTTCATTCATCCAACAAGTATAATACAATGTACATTACTATGTACCATAATTGAAGGGTCGGATGTTTCAATAACTTTGTACTGAGGGAAAATACAAAAACTTGAATAGAAATTCAAGTACAAAAGTAGATGAAAAGTGAGTATTTAAAAAAGTATCAATAAAACGACCTCCAGCTAACAGTATTTAATAGATTCCCTCTTTCGTTACACCATTTTGAAAAATATTCTTTACTCTGGTAACTTTTCATCACCCTCTCTTATGAATTCTAAGGTTAAGCAGTTTGTTAATTTTGCACAGGCCTTCTAAAGCTCTAGTTCTCCCTTACAGTCGCTGCTCAGGAAGAATGAACATTCACGCCAAGAACATGTTAGCACAAATGAATGGATGCCTCGTGTTTTGAGGGCAAACCACAAGCTGTCCTACCTGCTCTAGCGAACTACCAAATAAATGCGCTCACACTGCCCACCTCATTCCAAGCCATTGGCTCCGTTCTGAAGAGAGAACTGGTCAGCTCCACTGAAAGCCGTTTCTTATAGTCCTGTGGCTTGTCCTCAGACATTCGGAATAAAACAGCAGCTGCGTATGTGGCTGGGAAAAGATGGGGAAAAAAGGCTCTTAACGAAAAACTGAGGCTTCACTACACACACCAGCTCAAGGCTCTGGCTCCCGTCCTGCTTACCCACACCCTCGTTCCTCGAGTGGAGTAATTCTGTCAGAGGGGCGGTGGCTCCCTCAGCTTCAATTGCCTCTGCAGCCTCCTTGTCCTGAGCAAGTTCACAGAGGACCCCCGCTGCTACTCTTTGGATGTTTTCAATGGGAGAATAAAGCAGCTAAGGAGAAACACACAAAAACCTAATTAAATTAAAGCATGGAAAGCACCCCATTGTGATGCAAACATTCCCAATTCAGTGTGAGTGGCATTCATACCATTTGCATTAAATCACAGTTCTGCCCCGCAGAACAGAGCGGGTGAGTCTCTGAGAAACCCGTCTGAGTGGCAGCCCCGCCTAACCTGGCCGTCTAGCTGGCTGCACACACCTAGGCCAAGTGGCGCGCAGCCTGCTGCTCCCGGGCTACAAGCCCGTGCGGCAGCTCGCTCTGCTGAACGCTGTGGACAATTGTAACACAAGGGTAAATGCAGACTTGTTTACAGCGCCACCACCACACACCTGAGAGTACTGTGTTGCGCTACAACATTACGACGTCACTCAGGGATGTTAAAATCTTACCCTACCACCACTGTTGACAGAAACGTCATTATGCAGCACGTGACTGTATCCCCTAAATTACTTTCTCAAGTGTTTAATGCTCTGGAGCACTGGTTTTCTACAGTACTTTTAGCTATAAACCATTTCTTCAGAGGCTGTCATCACTTAGCTAAGATGCAAAGCCCGGGGTGGCAGGAGGCCGGGGCTCTGGCAGCCCGGACCAGCTCTCCGCCCGCAAATCTCAGCATCCCAGACAGCAGAGTACGAAGCTGCCTCCTGCTTCTTGAGGCCTCTAGTCCCAATGTCTCTCCTACTACCGTCCCCCCCAACCCTGCAAAATAGAGGAACTTTACGTAAAATTAAATGTCTTCAGCCTTATAAAGGACCTTGCACAGTGAGACTATTTTTCATACTTTAGCAGGCAGGCACGGGGAAAGTGCTGTCATTTTATAAATGGTAATGGATGAAAATTAAATGTTGATGCCCTTATTTTGGTCCCTAATTTCCTGAAAGTTTGCTTATCATTAAAACCCTGCAGTACTACGGACACGTGAAATCCAGGTTACCTCACTCAACACCAGCGTACCTGCACAAACAGCGGAATGGTGTTTAGCCCTCTGATCACGATTCGGTTGTGAACATCCCGAGCCAGGATGTGAAGGGCTCCGGTGCAGCCTTCAACTATCTCCTCCATGCGGACCCCCTCCTGCCAAAAGCAGCACGGTTAACACAGGGCATTCTCCTTCCTGAAGTTTTAACCTTGAAAGACTCTGCATGGTAATTACTAGCCTAATTATTCATATTATATGCCCAGAGTTTCCCAGAATTTGCCATCGGTTCAGGAATGGAGGAGGACCCCATTAAGCTGAACCTCACTGAGAGGGCCCCCCCGGCAGCCTAAGTCCACGCAGCACCCCCCCCCCCCCCCCCCCGCCCAGGCAGTGCTTCCCTATCCCTCTGAATCCCAAGGGGAACTTTCTGACAGGGAGGGCACCACCCACTCTAGGGAAAAGGGAAATGAAGGGGATACACAAAGATGGGAAAACAATGATTAGACTATGTCAATGTTTTCCTTTCACATGCTCCATTTTGGCACACCTATGTATATCGGGTGAAAACTTTACGCAGTTTTATCACCACCAACTACTAAAATTCTACTGAGCTGCCAGCAGAAAAGCCATGCCTCACCTCCTCCAGACTATTCCACTGATAGCCTGTATGACAGAAGGAAGTTAGCTTTTGCTAAATGTTTTCCCTGTTTCTGAGTTTTAAAAAAGCTTATGAGTCTACTTTTATAAACAACCAATTTTTATAAAGACACAAAAACTCCTTTTTTCCTAAAGAAGAGATTTAAAAATAAAAGGTACCCTTTGCATTTTATTAAGCTACCTCACGGACACAAGCCAACACCAAGAAGCAATGAACGGAGAAAGCCCAGGCCCTCAGCGCGCACACAGCACAGGCAACGGGCTGCCAATGCCTGTTCTGCTGAGGCCCCACTTTGTTTTCTAAAGTAACCCAATGAAAGAAGAACTCTTTGAAGGCCTCAGTCTTCAATTCTGGATTCAGAAATGTCCTTACTTGTAATAAAGCTAGTTTACGGACTGAAAACCTGACAACAAAGCTTTAGGCTGAGATTATGGGTAAAGATTCCAGAAATGCTATTTATTTTTGAAATCTGTTGGTCTTCTCAGGTCCATGGACATAGTTTAAAGCACTCGTGGAAGAGAGTGCAAAAGGAGCATTAAATATCTGTAGGAAAACTCATGTTGTAATGGGGAATAAGAAGCTCTGCAATCTGACAGATTTGGATTCAAATTATGACTGTTACTCTCTAAGAAGTGAACATCTGTATGGATTAAATGAGAAAACACTACAAAATGCCTGACCTCACTCTCCCTTTGTAAGACTGACGCTGCAAAGACGCAAAGGAGATGTCAAAGGGGAATAGCACAGGGAGCCGCAGTATCTTCTCTGCAGCCACGGAAACACATCAGTGTTTTTAGCCATTAGCAAGCAGCCCTTCAGGCAGGAAAGAATGGAAGGAGCCAATGATCAAAGAAGTTCAGGACCCCATGGATCTATGCATTCCTTTTAAATAGTTAGGTGTCACTATGAAGGTTTACCTACCACAAACTGCTGCTGTGTTCCACCCATAGACGTACGACGCTGGGTATCCTGATGTGCACGAACCAGCAACTGAACTAGACGTGGAATGGCACCCTGCTCGCGCAAGGGCGCGTGATTTGCTGGACAAAGGGCAAGATTTCGAATCAATCCAACAGTAGCCTGCAGACAAGGAGGAGGATAAAGAACCGAGATACAACTCAACAAAATCATTTTTTTAGCCCAAAATTCCCACCACATTAAAATTACTGGCATACCCTGAAAGCAGCACTGACTACGCAGACACCACCGCCCCGCCCCAGCTGCACTTGCCGAGTGGCCGCTACCCAACAGCCAGAGGTGGCTCATTTTTAACTCTGCAAACCTTCTACTTTGACAGTTTACCTTTATCAGAGGCCAATGGGACGGTGGGTGTAGGAGTTTAACCACAACTGGCAGTCCGTAGTGAAGGCGAACAGCGTTCTGGGCCATCTCTGCTTCCTGGTGTCGGCTGGTCAGGTGACGAAGAGCACAGATGGCAGGCTCAGTAATGTCCTCCCTGTCGCCAGCACGAAGGACAGTACGTACAAGAGCCTCTATACCACCCACTTGGCACACCATCATCTTGTTCTTGTAATTATTGCAGGTGAGATTAGAAAGAATTCCAGCTGCACAGGTGACCACATTTATATCATCTGAGCCCAAAAGCTGAACAAGGGTCCCAAGAAGACCTTCCATCCCTTCCTATGGAAATAAAAACATGCTCAGTATGTATTCATCTTGACTCTTATCACCAAGGCACTGGTTTACTCAAAATTTACCTGTTTAGTTGCAGCATCTGAAAGATTCCTAAGAGTCCAAAGACAGTTCTGAACAAGACGCTGACTTGGGTCTGTCAGGTGAAGTCCTAAAGCTTGCATTCCACCTAGAATATTAAACAAGATCTAGGGCAATGACCATGAGCTAACGATTCCTATCAACACTAAGCGTTTTCTCTAGTCTTAAAGGGTGTCTGTCTTTATTGCTGAAGCTTATCCCTTCCATTTAAATCCTGTATTTCCTTAGATAGTGCTCAGTTTCCCATTCTTTGCCACTTCAACTTCTGCCAAATATCTATTGTTCCTTCCCTATGTGGAAAAAACCTTCATTATTTCCACTGTTCCCAAGGGTAATGTTCCTATTACTTATTCCTGCTATTCCTATTACTTATTTTCTTTCATCTATTCAACCATTTCAGATATATATATTCAATATTATTCTGAGTTGACGCTATATTAGTGAGCAAAATATTCTAAAATCCCTACCCTCACAGAGCTTGTGGTCTAGTTGGAGGCAAGCAAACAAATACACGATTAATAAGATAAAACTATACAGTATGTCAGATGGTATTAAGTGCTACCGGAAAAAATAACACAAGACAAGGGAAGGGGCTACAATTTTAGGCAGGGAAATCAGGTAACCTCAACGTGAAGATCACATCTGAGAAAAGACTGAAGGAGCCATGTGAACTCCTGGGGCAAGAACAATCCAAACAAGAGCGCACTTGAATGCTTATTGCCAGGGAGTGCGTAGAAGGCACAGACTCCAAAACACATGCTGCAAAGGTGCACAGCCTTCCGTCATCTGGGACCCTAACGAAGCACCTGTACGCTGGCGGGTGTCTGAATGGAAGCTGAGTTCCCCACATACTGGCTTAACTTCTCCCACCGCCCTCCTACAGAAATCACTTCTAAATGCAGTGAGGTACTTTCCCTTTCTCTTCGTTCTCTTTTCCAGCTTGTTTTATTTCCTAAATTAGGGTAGCTCTACTTGCCATAATTCTCATGGCACACTGTTTTTTTTCCTTCACAGTATTTTTATCACAACTAGAATTAAGTCTACCTTCCTACGAGACAAAGATCATCCCTATCTGATTCCTCTGTCACAGTAGCTCCAGCCGCTAATCACACCCACACAAAGCTGATGCTCAGTATTTGGTAAATGACCTTTCCCTTCCACCTTCTCTGAGATTTCCTTCCCTCCTTCTACTATAACTGTTAATCCTGAGAGTGGGTCCTAACTCCAGACGCCCATCAGCAGAGCCTGCAGAAACTTTACAAATGCACAGCTCAAGGGTAAGAGTCCCGCGCAGACACCTCTGAGGCTGCTCCCACCTCACTTTGAGGCCTTTACCCCCAGAACCAGTCCGTACCCCGGCCTTCCCCTGTGTTCCGCTCCAGACAGCCCCAGCTACCTACTGACCACCTAGTCACTGAGCATGCCAGCTGCTTACATGGTTTTGTTCCCCAAACTCAACAGTCCATTGTGGTAGTTTCATTTATCTTCATGGGATCCACGTTCTCCCTCCACAAGCGACTTCTGGTTGCATCTTTAGCCCCTATGTTGTCACATTCTATTGATTCTTTCAGAAGTCTTAAATACTCATGCTTTGCTATCTATTTTAATACCGAACAACTTCATTTCGAGACCCGTAATGTAGTATTAACATTCTGAACACCCACGATGATGCTCCTCCGCTGCTCAAAAATCTTCACGAGCTTCTCACTATGTATAAGGTTCATTAACCCCAAATGCTTTAGCATAACTTTAAAGGAACCCTTTAGAATCGGAATCCCACCTAAGCATTCCGAACTGACCTCAACATTCTACACCTCTGGTTTCCAAGCTGAAATACAGCACGAACAAACCCTTACAGGCCTGAGGAAGGCCTGCCCTGTAGGACCCTGCCCGGCTCCATCCACCTCATCCTGGCTATTCATCCCATTACTAAGCTGTAGTTGTACAGACCCGTCAGCACCTAGAACTCAACGACCTCTACCTCTTCTCCCGATCCCGCTCCTCATGCAGACCACCGGTGCCATCTCACCCTGTGATCCCATTTAACACCCCCTTTCCAGGGAAGCCCCTCTCCTCTTCCCCCACCCCCCATTAATGCTGTAGCCCTATTTTCTGTCTGTTTCTTACATAACACATATTCTAATTTGTAATCACCACATGTTTCTATTACCCTCACTACACAGTAAGAATACTGGGATATGTATGTTTTGTTAAAAAATAGAACTCACATGTTTATTACAGTGCCTGAAACGCAGGTACTAAATATTTTTGGAATAAACTACAACATCAGAATAAGTAGGGGAACTTCTTAAAATGAAGATTCCTAGGCTTCCTAGGCCTCCACTCCCATACATTTCCAGTTACCTACTGACCTCCTCTGTCATTTCAGCACTCTGGGGATTCTGATTCAGTCCGTCGTGTTTTTCGCAAGCACTCATGGTACTTCTGCAGGAGCCGGCAGAATTTATAGCCCCTTGTTCTACAGGAACCCAGCCACACTTGCCTATCCCCAAGTCGACTGCTGTACTGCCAACAGCTACCCTGAGCAATCATGATACCTTTCTCCCCCACAGACTCTCCAGCAAAACTGCTCTCAACAAGTGGGAAAATGGGGGCTACCAACCCTATACTTTACTTTTGATGTTTTCTATCAAATGCCTTTACATCTTTCCTCTCCCAGTTTTAATCTGAAGCTTGGTTTGAGTCTAGATAGATGATATTAGGTGGGCTACAGAAAGGAAAAAGATGCTGGGAAGTTGAAAAGTAATTTATCTTCAAGAAAAAAAGCAAGAGGCCTTGGTGTGGACCTAGTCCTTTCCTCTGCCACCAGGATGCACACAATGCAAGCTGCTTCATTCAGGATACTTAAAGGGAACAGAAAAACTGTTCCGTATTAGACCATTTGTTCACCAAGAATACAGAACACCAGTATAAAATATTGCTCATGAGCATCCACTAACAAATCAAGAAAACCACTTCACTAAAACTATAAACTATAACTTCACTAAAACATAAAACTATACTTTAATTTTTCCTATATATTCACAGGTCTACTAGCAAAGCAAATGGGTTTGCCCAAAATCAAAATCAAAAACAAATTTTATCACGCCAAGGTTAGGAAGAACTCTGCTTAAGCTAGGTTTAAAGAGCACCAATGCAAGTATGAAGCAGAACATATACTTCGCCTAAGTGTGACCTTAGCTACAAACTGTACAGGGCCATCTACTTTAAGCCCTTTAATGTCACGTTCTCTTACCCTTTGCCTAAGAAAGACAACCTGATTAGAACTGCAGGCGCTGCACACATGGGAACTCAGAACAGGCACGCATACTTACCAGCTTCTACAATGGCTGGCTTGTTACTAGAGCAGACAGACAGCACCTTCAGCACTCTGCTTGTGGTCCACAGCAGCTTCTCGTAAGTGTAGGTCCTCATTATATTGACTAAAGCCTGAGGTCCACCGCTAGCCAGAATGATCAGCTAGAAAGACATGTATGTATTGTTAAATGTGGAATCTGGACCAAATGCTGAGAAAAGCCATATTATATTATCAACCTATTTTATTATACAAAAATTTCAGCCAGCTTGCCCTTAAGTGTACTCCTGGACCCCACTAGCCAGCTTCTCACACTGGAGCCCTGTTTACCCGCTCCTTCTGTAGCGTCCCACTCACTCAGGTGTCCCAGTCCTCCCAAGAATACAGCAACCCTGCCCCGATTTTCTTCTCCTCACAAATCACAGCAAAAGCGGGGGTCTGGGCGGGGGGCAGAAACCATATTGGTATGCAACAGTAATGCCCAGATACGAAAGTTACATCAAAGCTGATTTGAGAATTTACATCAAAATAGGCACTTAAAACTCATGATTTGGATCTTTGCTTTTTCTCCTAATCATATCTGCCTTACAGAGATACCACACCATAATCATCCATTCTTGACCTTTACTTCCCTGCATACTCCCACCTCCCACCTCCACCTCAATTTCCTAAAAACAAATCTTACTTCATGCCTCTGCTGAAAATTACTTGATTGCTTCACACTGGTCTTTTTAAAAAGATTTTATTTATTGACTTTTAGAGAGGAGAAAGGGAGGGAGAAAGAGGGAGATTAACATCAATGTGTGGTTGCCTCCTGCAGGCCCCACACTGGGGACCTGGCCCGCAACCCAGGCATGTGCCCTGACTGGGAATTGAACTGGTGACCCTTTGCTTCACAGGTCAGCGCTCAATCCACTGAGCCACAGCAGCTAGGGTACACACTGGTCTTCTAACATGGTCTACAAAGCCCTACAGGATCTGCCCTATCTCGGTAGTCTCACTTCAAACCTTTCCTCTCCCTTACTCTTTGTATTTCTTGAACTTTCTAAATTCATCAGGTTCCTCCCTCAGCAGGACCTTCAAAGATGCGCTTTCCTCACCATGACCTTTACCTCCTCAACCTCTCTCATCCTTAAGAGCTGAACTATCATTCCTCCAAGAGGTGTCCCCGAACCCTCAGAACAGAACGAGGTTCACTCGTGTTCTCAAAGCCCCCTACCTCCTCCTCACACATGACGTAAGCAGTAATTCCGCTATTATCTCAGTGTCTATCTCCTTTCCAAAATGAAGGCTGTAAGGGAAGGTGGCCTACTCTATCCCTATTGCCTATCTCAGCACTTTACACACACACACTCAAATGTGTCAAGGAACAGGAATGTCTAACTTCCCCATGATGCGCGCTACGGGCGAGGCATACAACTTGCAAGAGTCCATAAAAGGACATGGCGTTGGGGGTCTCTAGGGCTCCACAACACCCATCAGAACCACTCTCTTACCTTGCTCTCTTGATTGCCATAAGCTAAAATCTGAAGGCAGTCTGTCGTGATTGCCAAGAATTTAACATTTGTTTTGTTGAGCAAGGCAACCATTTTCTGCAACCCGCCAGCTAAACGCACTGCCATTTTAGCTCCTTCTTGATGCAATAAAAGGTTGTGGAGAGTTGTGATGGCATAAAACAACACAGAATCCACGGGTGAGCTGGGGAGAAGAAAAGAGGCACATCAGAGACGGTGCGACTGCGCACTTCTCCTCATTGGCTTTGAGCGCTCGGACCGCGTCTTCTTACCCAAGCATCTTTACCAGAGCAGGAATGCCCCCAGACTTAAAGATGGCCAGCAAGCCCTCACGGTGATGGGAAAGGTTGTGCAAGGTCCCAGCAGTACAGCGAGCTGTTTCCACATCATTTGTATTCTGCATGGTACGTACAATAGCAGACACCATCTGAGGAGAACGCATGATGGCGTGTCTGGAAGCTTCCTTTTTAGAAAGCTGATGGACCATAACTGCAGCCTTGTTCACCACCACCTATAACGTACCGGAATCAAGACACATAATTAGTTTTCAAATATTAGTACTGGTAGACACGTTGAGACTACTTCCCTGAGCGTTTCCTTCACAGCAGGTTAAAAAGCTAGCCATGTCATCACCAACCTGGTCCTCATCATTGAGCAGTTTTGTCAGTTCCGGGATTGCACGTGTGGCAAGTTCTGCATCATCTTGATAGTTAATCAGATTTACCACCGCATGTTTCAGCATCTGTGATGGTTCAGCCAAACGCTGGACATTGGTGGGATGAGCGGCATCAAACTGCGTAGATGGGATCTGCATGCCCTCATCCAGGGTCTCGGGGAACATGGCAGCTCGCACCCTCTGAGCGCGAGTCATGGCGTACTGCCCATCAATATCTGCGGATGGCAAATAAATCCAATACTCACGATCCAGAGTTCAGCATCGCCTGAGTGTCCGCTATCCTAAACAGTGACGTCCACACCACAATCACTCCCTCCCTTTCCTTTATCCCATCATTTTTTAAGGCTACCATCACACATTAGCTTTTAAAAGAACGACCTTCTCAAAGTGGCGTTCCTTCCGTGAGGCAATAAAGCCCTTACCAGCTACTTGTTCCTGAGTGAAGGACTGAGAAAAGCCCTGGTGGTCCCAGTCATAGAGGCCTTGTTGGGCGGTATCCACATCTTCTTCCTCAGGATTGCCTTTTCCACTCAGAGAAGGGGCTGTGGTAGTAGCGCCAGAATGGATTCCAGAGTCCAGGTAAGACTGTTGCTGCCAGTGACTGACAGCTGCTTTTCTGTCTGGCTCCATGGCCATGTCCAGCTCCATCAAATCAGCTGTAAAAATGAAACAGCATCAGCATTACTACCACAGAAATGTAATCTTAGTTTAACAGCAACAACAAAAATCTGTACTATGACCCACTGAAATATTTTTAGAAATAAAGTTAAATTTGAAAGATAGCCAGGAATAACAGAATGAGAGCCAGGATTCGCTTGGTGGTGAAACAGCTACATTCTCAGGGGCCCACCTAACAGCACTCACTGAGTCGGTGGAGGAACTGCACTGCACCCCGGCTCCGGAAGAGTCATCCAGACTAGATTCCTACTGCTGGCCTGTCTGCTGTCTCACCAAGCCATTAGGAGGAATGAGCAGAAAATAGAGCAAGAGGTAGCCTGATAAGTAAGCAGGGAGAGAGGAAAGCAAAGGGGATCTGAGCCCGACGGGGTTAATGGCAATGAAGCAGAGCCCCAATTCAGTAGCTAAAGACTTATCATACAAACCTTGAGTAGCCATTGTCCACGCAGAGGATTTTCAAAAACGGTTGTATGGTGTCCTTCAGATACCCTAAAAGAGTTCATCAAAAGTCATGAGGATTTAAAATTAACTCCCTTTTAATACTCGTAAGTCACTAGGGTGGCCTGTTAAGACATCATGGACTATACCCACAAAAAGCCCCACAGCTTCTTGTACCGCGTGACACAGCGGAACACGGATCTCATGAGGGGTCCTCCAGACCCCTCGACCCCAGCGCCAACTGCCAAACGTCTAAGTGCAAAAACTCCTCTTTAACAAGCACCTCTTTTTAGTAGAAATATAAAGATGATGAAGAACGCATAAAAGCTCTAATAATGAAAGCCGTGGAGGGGGGAAGAAACTATTCAAAATCAACTCCTTGAGTTCCAAAAAGCCTCTCCCATTTTAATTTCTCTCACTGAAAAATTCACAGATCCTCTTTGGACAGTAGAAGTCCAATGGATTTTCTTTAAAAACACCAAATTTTCCTTCAAAGAACCAACTTTTCTGTTATGGTACAATGCCACCTAAAATAGGTTCAAGAAAGTAGATTTTGGTGACTGGATCAGAACAATAGATTTTAGATTTCTTTACTAAGAAGTTAAATTACTTCTCAAATGAAAAAGTTTACAACACAAATTAGAAACATGATTTTCAGTAGGTTTTCTAAGCTCCAATTTTTTCTAAGTTCAAATTTATAGCAATGATTTATTATAAATACAAGTATTACTGACAGAAACGATGCTTTAATCAACATAAAAAAATTTAATCATTCATACATATGTATAAAATCAGCATATAATTGATGTCTGCATTCTGGCTTTAATGTGTAATATTCAGGAAAACAATGAATCACATAGGAAATTATTTGCAAATAAGAACAATTTTAGGGCTCCAAACCTCTAGATATTCCTAATAAAATTTCCTTTATTACAAAGTCTTGTCCCTAAACAAACTCATCTTACACCAGAAATTAACATATTAGGTGTTTACCAATGTGTAAAGATATAGACTAAGATATTTAAGTGCTAGGTGTTTTCTATCAATGTACAAAGTAGTTTAAATATGTTTAAGGAAATTTGAAATTGCACTCTAGTCCTATTTTCTCTATGTAAAAAAGCATGTTTGATTATTCCTAAAATTGCTCTCCCAGTACTGGATTTTTACAACCACAAAGATCACCTGACACTTAAAGCTGACAAGAGCTGTTGATAGAACTGTTTAAATAACCACAGTAGAAATAACTGACAATTTCTATACAAGGCAAAATGAAGGACAGAAAATAGTAAAAGTGATTCCTGTCAATAAGAATCTCCTATTTTACAATACAGCTAGCCCTGAACCACCCAGGGGTTGGGGCACTGACCGCCTGTGAGCAGTTGAAAATTTGCATATAACTTAAGCTGGCCCTCTGTACACACATTCCCAAGTGCCATCTGACTCCTGGACAAAGCAGGGTTGAACTGTGCAGGCCAACTGAGGAGTCGGTATATAAGTGCACCTGTGCAGTTCAAGCCCACGTTGTTCAAAGGTCAACTGTAATTTATTTGGCAGGATTGTGTGTTTAATGCTTTGGTTCAACAGCACTGTGGTGGGACATAGAAACCAGCATTTTTGATGAATTCTCTAGGATGCAGCAGATGATCTGTGGACCACACTGAGATACACTATGCTGCACGGATCTCCGGTTCTCTGTCCACTGACACTGTGTTCTAGCTCTCCTCTTTGTAACTGGCTATTTAATCATTCTTTCAAGTCTCTGGAAAATGGGTTCCCTACTTGCGCTTCCCAGTATATTTCTGGGAAGGGGACTTAAAAGATGTTCTTTGCTGAGCTCTTCCTTTGACCGGTGCTACGTACGGCTCAGAAACCAACTAGTCACATTTATAGGCTATGCAGCTGTTTGTTTAAGAAAACCTATGGTGTATTTGGCTTCAAGGAAAAAAAAATATTTATAGTATTGTTTCCTTGTTAAGTAACACACAGGTAACACATTTTAGGCATGATAATGGGTATAATCTGTTTATGGGGGCTGACATAGAACTTGACTATGGTTTTTAATGATTTTATGGAAAAAAGCAAGTTCATGTTCCAAATTTACAACATCCAGTTATATGTTAGGGACTTAAGCAATACTATTAATTTCACAGCACTTTAACATTTATGCAAAATAAATAAAAATTATTTTTGCTCTTCACGGCAACCCTGTGAGGCGAGGGCGGGCAGGGGGTCTGTCTTCAGGGATGTACACGGTAAGCATGAAAATGAAGCTCTACAGAAGCGACAGCACAGACCACCTCATCCCCACACTGCTCTGCAGATTCAGATTTATCAAAACACTGAGAACTGCCCACTAGAGAAACTGAATACGCTGCCGAGAGAGAACCCACGCAGAACCCTGCCCACACAGAGAGGCTCCCGCACGCTTCCTCCGGGCAGGGCTCTCAGCCTGGCTGCCCTCCCCCGCCAGCTGCCCACTGCCGCAGTCGGGGCTCCGTGCAGCGGAAAACCTTCCACAAAGGACAAACATCAAGGGAAACCGACAGAAAAACGGATTCTTTCTTTTAAGTCAGAACTGAAAAATAGGGGTGGGGTAGGGTAGGGAAAGAAATAGAATGTTTTAATTTATTACTCTCATAAAGTATGGAGAGAGTAAACATTTTTAGAAGTTAAATAGATAACTGAAGCTGAAAAAAACTAGAGCACAAAGGAGAAAGAGACACAAACTATGAAAAAGAAATGAGAATCAAGCCAGGGAATCAAAACTCCAACTAACAGGTATTCTAGAAAGAATGATAAACAAAAGGGGAAAGGCCTACTGACTCCCAACCAAGACGGGGGGCGTGGAGGAGGCTTAAAATTACGAAGCACCAGAACACTCCCCGATGCAGGTGACCACTAACTTCGGACTGACTGCAACAGGGCGGTCTGGGCTCCGCCGGCTTCACCGCCCCCCCGTGGGCTCTGACACAGAAAAAGGGTGCTGGGCGCGGGCGGCTTACCCGATGAGGCAGTGGATGCAGCGCCCCCCCTCTTCCTTTTGCTGTTTAAATGCACATTCTTTCAATGATGTACTTTGTAAAAAAAAAAAAAAAAATCGAAATTCATCTTGCTGCTTCTGATTTAAACTCTATAAAGGCTTAAAAATATAGATCCTTTATATATAATAATTTCTACTTAAGTAGTAAGTTCATCCTTGACAATATCTATTCAAAGTGTTACTATGAGTAATTTTTCCTTCAGCTTTTCTAATAGTACTTAAGCAAGCTAGGTTTTTCTTTCCTGTTATTATGAAAATTTTCAAATATGCAAGAAAGTAGATACAACTGTATAATGAACACCCACATCACCTATACTTAACTGTTAATATCATGCCATATCTATGCCTTCCTACAGAATGATTTTCAAGTAAATTACATATATTAGTACCTCCTGTGACTATAAAAATTAAGGGTATTTTCTTACATACCACATTATTATAAAAGAGTAGCATTAGTAACTGACACTCAATTACACAATCAGTGCTAGAGCTTCTACTTCACCTTCTGTACTTTGAGCTTCTGTCAAAGTCTACATGATAATTCTTGACACGATAAAAATCTCAAACTAAAGTTGCTTCTTCGGTTCCCATCAGGACAAAATTATTTTAATTACTTTAGGTTTTAAGAGGTTTCAGTATTACTGAGAATAACTTTGCTATATAAAAATAAAGCAGCTCTATTATAAAAATCAGTTTTATACTGGCAGTTCATGCCAACAATTCACTTTTTCAATAATCTGTACTGGAAGAACCAAAGCCAGTTATTTATTCTATTTTCTCCTTTTTTAAGGTTTTATTGATTTTTAGAGAGAGGGGAGGGAGGGAGAATGAGAGGGACAGAAACATGGATGTGCAAGAGAAACATCAACTGGTGGTTGCTTCTTGCGCATCCCCAACTGGGTACCCGGCCCACAACCCGGGTGTGCGCTCCGACCTGGCACCGCACCAGCCACCTTTCGGCTCGCGGGCCAGTGCTCAATCCACTGAGCCACATCAGCCAGGGCTGTTCATTCTGTTTTAAAGAATATGCAACTCTATTTCAGGAGCATAACAACCTTCTGATAAATCCCCAGGGATTAAAAATAAAGTTCTTAGTGAAATTTATTTTGTAAATCTAAAAACACATACATATCCATTTTTATTAACTGTCACTACTAACACGTCATTTTAAAAATTTTTACCGTCTCCTCAGAGCTTCCAGTTCCAGCACTTTTCCTTCTACACTAAAACTTTTAAGTCGTAACTCACTCTAGTTTCCTTTCTGTTTTTACTCTCAGCTGGGCTTATGTCTGAAAGGAGTCTTCTTGGACTGGCCAAGAAAAAACACACATCTAAAGACACTTTTGTTCCTCCAATCACCTAGCATTAATGCCCTTGGCGCTATCTTTTAATATAAGTGCGAAATGGCTATTAGAAATATGAACTGTCTGTAGCTAGGAAAAATTAGGATGTTCCCCAAATGACGCCTTCATTTTATTCTCTTCTCTACCCTTACTATAAAGTAAAATATATACTTAGTATAAAATTTTTCTTCATCATTACCTAAGTGGTATGCAGTTAGTGACATTTTGATGTATTTGGTATAAAAACGTACTGTTAGGCATTCTTTTAATATAAAAATCAATTCCACGTCTTGTAGACTCTTATAAAATCCTTATAAAATATCATCTGTAATAAAGCATATGATGTCTTTCTTGAATATTTAGTTTGTCCTATCCCATTTTGTTTGCTATACAAACAATGCTGAACAATATAAATAATTCTCTTAATTTTTCCCACCCAGGGGTTGCTTTAACTACTGGATAAAAAGGGTAAGAACTTTTAAGGCTTTTAATACATAGCTCCAAAATACCGATGGAGCATCAGTTTATACAATTTTCACAGAGGCACTGTAATAGTGGCCAGTTTACTGAGCGAGGGCTTACCAACATCAGCTGTTATTTCAGAAAAAAATTTTTTTTAAAGTTTTTTTTTTAATCTTGGCAGGGGGAGAAAGGGAGAAAAGTATCAA